TTTTTTTTTTTGCTTTTTCGACTTTTTTTTTTTCAAAATCGTGTGGCAAGCCTGCATATAGTATTTTTTTTGCCCAATCCATTGGTGTTATCGCCACATCGAAATTCGGTTTCCTTATCACTTAATTTGCATCATGTGATAAATGCGAGTGACGTCATCAATAGCTCGGGAATCAATTGAAATGAAACACACGAAAAAAATATTCGAGTAACGAAACAATGTGATACAGATCCATTCATATGAAACAATGCGAGAGGATTCGTTCATAACGACACTGCAGACAAAAAATCTATCAAAACGGAACACCGCAAAGCGAAATACTTAAAACGGCACATGCTATGTTTCATTCTTACGGATTTCTTTTACATGTTCCATTTTAATGGATTGCTTTATTTTTGTTTCGTATCTGTGTATTGAGCGACGAAAGTCTCATTTTCATTCCAAGCTCATCAAATATTCATAGATTATTTGAAAATGAAGCAAAATAACGTCAAAAATGTGAATCTGCCAAATGATTCAAGATGGCGGACTAGTACGATGTTTTTAAAATCATCATATCTATGGGTGAGATTGAGAGTAGTGTATGTTTCATTGACTTTGTTACGAAAGAGAAGAGCAAGTTTCTGTCGACTTAAAAATGGTTAAAAGCGAGTATGTTCGTTTTTAGCGGGTCCTCGCGGTTTTTCACGGTTTCCGCGGAACTGATAAAAGATAACAACTTGGTGTCTTCGACAAAGTTGTAGCACTCGAGGTCTTCTATAACATTGCTGAAGTCAGTTATCTCTTATCTCATATGCGTTCCGCGAAAAGCGCGAAAAATGATAAGAAAAAAAAAGTTCTATATAAAATTTGCTTTTTTATGTGCGCGATTTGCGCGCAACTGATAAGAGATAACTGTCTTCAGCTTAGTTATAGAAGACCTCGAGTACTACAACTTTGCCGAAGACACCATGTTGTTATCTTTTATCAGTTGCGCGAAAACCATGAAGACCGCGGAGGCTAGATGGTACTACAACATACTCTACTTTAACGCCAACAGAATCATCAGAAAACATACTCGCCTTTTCAAAAATATAAATCGAAGAAAAAACATACTCCACTCTCAATCTCACCCATAGATATCTAAGTAATTTTTGTGTCAATATTGACAAAAATAAGCTTAAAAGATGAAGAATGCCTTAAATTATTGGATCAAAACGATATTTTTGAGAAAAAAATCATTTTTGTTCCATGTTCATCGATTTTTTGTTGGGGTCCATATGACCCCACATTACAGCATTTGTAATTTTCGACTTATTACAGACAAACGGTTAATGACAGACAAAAAAACTAAAAATGGTGGCGGTGTGGTCCGATGCATACAACACAAGCTACGCCATCTAAGGCAAATCCTTTAAAACTAATCGATACACCCAATAAATAAATAAAAATGTTTCGATTCTGCCAAATAAAATTGTGCAAATATGCCGCTGGCACACAAGACAAAAAAAATGTTTTCTTTTGGCAGGTTAAACCCGTATTTAAAAAAAATTGTTTTTCTTTCATTTTCAATCGAGTTATATGAGAGAAAATTACGGTTTTATATGATATATTGGAGTTTACATAATTAAAAAAAACACAAAATGTTAGATTCAGAATATAAACTGGTTCGTGGCAGAATTGCTTTTTTTTATTTTGCGGACCATACTGAGAAAACGCTTGCGTTCGAACAGAAAACTACACTGAAACAGAAGTCGATTTGACATTAGCTGTCAAACCGGCGAGATGAACAAGTGCGTTTGTAAAGTGAGCGCGTTCACTCCATGTCAGCAGGTTTTGGACGAATTTCATTTTGCAAATAATGTTGTTTTATTTATTTACTTGAAGTTGACATTAGCTGTCAAAAGTGTAAACATCGACTTTTTCACCGCTCTTCAATAAAATAATTTATTTTCGTTTTTTTTTTAAATATTTCAAACTGTTCCCAACTTTTATTTGCGACGACATGAAAGTTTAAATGACAATTTCATCGGAAAAAGTGAAGTTCAGGAGAATAGTACAAAATTAAAAAGGAAAAAAGCAGATTATTTTCAAGACTGTTTACAGTGAATAAAATCGGTTTGCCACAGTGCTGTTTCGAGGTTGTTAGGACTGGCAGCAATAGGTTTTCCGATCGGGCAGTATTTCACTACGTGTATTATTTCAATATAACCTCAACATGTCAACAACGCAACCACACAGCTGTGAAACAAACAATTGTAATGGATCCAGATATTATGGATGGTCTCTGAATTGCCGGTTTTGTGGTAAAAAAATATTTGTTGAGTGTCTACGCCAGCTTGATGAATTGAGAACGAAGGAGTTATTGCATGCGTTTGAACCGATGTCTAAAACTGTAAGAAGTGATGGTACTTTCGAATGGAAGATATTATCGGACAAACCCAGCAAATATTCCGAATTTCTTCAAATGTTCAGCGCTGATTCAATATTCGGAATAACATGTCATTGCTGTGCAACTAAGTTCAACAAGATAACCACTGAAGTGGAGCACAGAGAAGTATCCATTCAGCGATTGAGTGAAGAAATCGTTAAATCTGTCAACAAATCGATACAAAACAAATTGAATAATGGTTTAATTGATTTAGGTGCATCATCTTCAGCTAGTCATAGTGACAACAAAAACACCAATCCGAAAAAAACACCGGGGCCACAAAAAATCACACCGATAAATGGTATTTATTCAATTCATGTTTCTCGTTTGCCGAAAGATGCTACCTCCGATGATGTAACTGCCATTATCATTGCCAACTCTGAAATTCACACTGATGCCTTTTCTGTTGAGAAAATTCCAAACAAACGGTTCAAAGGTAACTCAAGAAATTTTTCATCTTTCAAAATTTCAACTTTTTCCCATGAAGTTTGCAACAAGATCATCACCTTGGATGATTGGGATCCAAATTACATCGTGAAACCATTCATTCACCCAGTGAAAAAGCAATCTGATGGTACAGCTCAGAAGAAAAATAAACAAAACGCCGAAAAAAAACGAACAACACAACATAATTCTGATAACAACAACAATCGGCAAACCAAAGGCAAACCAAATGCACATTTTCAACGAGAGCAAAATGACAATCAGCGAAAGACACGATATTCCAACAGAAATCATCGTTTTGAAAATTTCTCTCGTCCATACAATCACAATCGGAGATTTCAAAATCAAAATGTGTATAGCCAACGGCTAAGTCAGTGGCAGCAATCTGCTCCTTTTCTGCAGCAACCATTTTTCCATCCGCCGTATGTGATACCAGGTTTGCAACAAATGCATCATCATCCATCACAAATTCCAATGCAAATGCCACAACATCTACCACCACAAATGCCAATGTATGCACAACCTCAACCATTTTATCACAGTTAAACCCAGCCTTCTCCACCTCATCATTCTGTTTAAATCCACTTTTTGCCACATCATTTCACATTCAGCAGCCACATCAACAACATCTATTCAATAATGTAGTTCCAATGTTGGATGACGCTGCAATGTATTGCATTAATATGAATGGCATCAGAGATAAAGAAAAAGCGATAAACTTTCTTGCTGAAGTGCTTGCGTCGTCTTTCCTTTTTTACATGTTGAGCGAATCACACCTCAGTCCTGATTCGCCTCTTCTGAATTTTTTCCACAAAATTTCGAAGTGTTTCGCTGTGACAGATCTGCGGACACTGAAAAATATCAGCGAGTCAAGAAGAAAGGCTGGGGTGGTGTACTAATTGCAGTAGAAAAATCGTTGCAACCACAATGCATTGGAACAGCCGAACATCTTGGAGCGGAACAAGTCTGGGCAAAAGTCAAGCATAATGGCAGAAATTAAATACTGATCCAGCTATACATTCGACCAGACTCACCGTTTGAAGTCTACAAAGCAAACATGAATGCACTACGTGAAGTCGCTTCTAAAGCAAATCAAAACGATGTGTTGTTTGCATCGGGTGATTTCAATCTCCGGAATCTGATCTGGTACACATGCAACAACAATGCTGATTATGATCCTGATGACATTTTTCAACACAATCCAAATGTAGCAGTAGCTATCAATGCGGTGAGTGAGAAAGAAAGAATCGTGCTCGACACTTGCAACGAGCTTGGATTGTATCAAATATGCACACATCACAACAACAACAATCGGTGGCTGGATTTAATATGGACCAATGAACCCAACTTGTTCACATGCAACAAAAATGACAGCGACATAGCAAAGAAAGAATCACATCATCAAGCGCTTGAAGTAATCATCCATGAAAAAATTGAAAAGAAAGCCGAAAATCAAAGTTCGTACAAAGACTTCAAGAATGCTGATTACAATGCAATGAATGAATATTTCTCAAATGCCGACTGGAGCAGTATTATCAACGAACCCGATCTGAATGCAGCAGTTGACCAGTTGTATTCGAGAATTAACACTGCAATTGAAATGAATGTTGAAGTCAAAACCAGAAAAGAGTCCAATCATCCAAAGTGGTTTAGCCGTGAACTAATAAATATGAAGAATCGTGTTAACAAATTGCACAGCAAGAAGAAATTTGATCCGACTGATGTGATAAGAAACCAACATATCAAATTACGTCGTGAATATAAAAAACAATCTCGATTTGCTTTTAGGATTTACAAACTCGAAATGGAACAGCTGATAAATGAAGATCCTCAGAAATTTTTTGAATACGTCAGAGCGTGTAACAACACAAAAAATGATCTTCCAACTGAAATGGAATACGAAGACCGAAAATTTGACGATCCATTCGAAATTGCCAATTCATTTGCAGCACATTTCAAAAAGGCATACACACAGACAACTGATGGATCTGAAGCAAGTTATCGTGAAGATGATCCCATATTGTTGGACCGATGTGCTAACATTCCACCTATTCAAATCGATGAGGAATTAGTCATGGAAAAAATGAATGAGCTACCAAACATATACAAGTACAGATACTGTTAGGCATAGAATAAATGAATATTTTAAG